CACTGTATATATATATATATATATATATATATATATATATATATAGTAATACTGTAGGCATCTCTATTTCCTTTGGCAGATTGTTATAGATCAATGCGAATCATCAGAATCTGGGATGTTCAAAACTCACCAGTTCTTCTTGCACAGATGATCTGAAGAAGAATCATAGTAGGAGCAGCAAACACTGCAATCTCAACAATAATCACAATCACTGCAGGAAAGATGTGTGGACAGATGACAGAGAGAAAGCAGAGAATGAATCTGTGAAACTGTAAATCGCTTATTAACAGGGTATGAACCAATGAACAATTATTGACAAGCCGTTTTCAAATTCAAATTTTAGTTTTAGTGCATGCAAAGCCATTTCATACCTCTGAATAATGATCCAGCAGTCATACAGACTACAGTCTCTGATGCACTGTCAGCTGGATCTGTGTATGATGATTATTAGTTCAGTTCAAACATACTGTGACATGAATAAGACATGCATAAATACATTGTTGGGTAGTAACAGCAGGTGTGTGTGTGTGCAGCTGAAATCATCTCAATGTTTGAGGTAATGATCTATTTATCTATATACACTCTAAAAATTGCTGGGTTAAATATATATGTCAAAACAACCCAATAGCTGGGTTTGTCCCTTTTTAACCCAGCGCTGGGTTATATTTAACCCAGCATTTTTTAGAGTGTAGGTTGGAGGAATTGAGTTCAGATTCAGATTTTAGTTCAGATAATTTATATGAGAATAAAACACAGTGAGCTGCAGCCCATAACCTTAGGTTTGTCCTGAATGAATAACATTAGTAATCAATCATGTCATGTCTCCTTATCAGAGAGTCTTCCGATACTGATTAAAGAAATTTAGTTTCTTACCTGAATACTTGACAGCATATGTGACTGAGGTCTTTAGTTCATTTCTGTTTAACCGGACATCTCCACTCTCTGTTGTGATCTTCATTCAGGAGTGTTGTAGAGACTCCATCAATATACAACTGAGAGAAGAGAGTCAGAGCTGCCTGATCTGATCTCTGACTGTGAGGATGATGAAGAGACTGAAACAGAAAATAAAACAGAGATTACATGACTGATTTCAGTCTTTGCAGGGACAACAATACCACTGTTATACCAAATCAACATATAATCATAATATTTACAGAAACACTGACCATGAAGAAAATGCAGATGAACACGTGCATCAGTTCCTTGTTGTTCATTCACATATTGTCGGCAGCTGTAAGATCAATGATGTTCAGAGAGCAGTCAGAGCCCAGACTCTCATGTCTCTCTATGTCTTTCTTCTTTTTCCCTCCAGCAATCAGTTTAAATGAATGTCTATTGTAGTTCCATGTAATTGATGTGCAGGGCAGACGGACATTTTCACCAGAACCGCATTCACTTCATGCGTCACTTCTGCTCCACTGGTTCCTAAAACACATAGATTTGGATCATCATATGCTATGTATTAATAAACAAAACATTATTTTATGCATATCTAAATGCAAGTCTTTTCCAGTCTTATAGTACATATACAAATATGGCCCCTGTTACTCAGTTCCACTATTACCCCCTGTCCGACGCCCCTGTCTATAATTAACAAAATTGAACAGCACCAGCATCCTGAATGTGAACAATATTTCATTATGGAACTTACACACTTTAATTAGGTAATGAAAAACATTCAGTGATAACTTCAATTCACATGTAGATTCATAAAGACTAGCATGAGTGTCGAGATCCTCACCAGTTGAGATGTTGAGATCAATATAGAATTCAACAGTATGAAGCAACTTCCTAAAAGAAAGAAGAGGAACTGCTGGTGGAATTATTCAGTCTAAACTGAGTTCACAGTTCATCACTTCTATATATGTCTGTTGAACCAGAGTGGGCAAACTAACACAGATTCTCACGCTGGTTCTCACACAGAACAGTCACATGATTTGAAACAGTTCTGAGATCTCTCTGGAAAACATGTAACATTATGTATTATGCAACATGTTATGCTTTCTGTGTTATATTACTAACATAGCACAGTAAGTGTAATATATAAATCCATTCAGTATGAGAACAAATGAGAAACCAAGAAATGAAAGGTATAAAAAAGTAAACAAACCATTAATACTTTAAATTAAACAGAAGATAGTTAAATATTCACACAGTCTTGGGAACTGAACACAAGACAATACCAGGATACATTTGAAAATTCAGAGATGACGTGTATCAGTTTAATTCTGATGATTGCAGATTTTCTTAATGTTTTAAATATTTGCGTTGTTTAAATTCTCTCTCAATAAATAACATTGTATTAATACAAGTATTCATTTAAAAGTGAATTCTGCTTTTAAAATGTTCCATCAATTAAGAGCAAGTTCAGTTACTTCTGATTTTACTGGAATTGAAGACACAAAAACTTTTGGGCTTCTCCATGGAAGAAAAAAATGGTTTAAGACAGAAATCCAACTGATAAACCTTCAAGCCAACCTTACTGTGAACTGACCAAATATTTAATATAAAAGTTCTGTTCCTTAACATACATTGAATCTCATAAATGCATAAATCTCCGCAGATGCGAAAAACTGCGTATCTGCTCATAATATGAGGTCATGCAATGATTTGCATAATTATTGTTTATTTGTGAGGGGTGGTGGTGGTGTTCACAGAGGTATAAAGTTCATCCTGAGGTGCATATTCTGTTCCTCTGATGGCAGCGTACATCACTGTATGATTAGAATCATTCTGAAAGAACATCACAGATTTTGTCAGTCCATGTGTACGTTTCAACCTACACCTATTATTACTTCTTGCTGTTAGAGCTTCATTTATTTGCAAATTCAGAGCTACATATCAGCAGCATATAGATCAGAGAAGGTGGGTGTATTTTCTCTGAACAGGACTGCTATTGGGCAGTGATGGAAGAACAAGTGAATGTGGTGGTGCCGTATCTATCTACTCACATAGTCCATTAGTACTTGTTTTTTACTGGAAGCGGTAACCTCAGAATAGGTCACATCATCTCTCTGTTCCTAAACATCAATAGAAACATGGCAAATAAAGTTTAATACAGTAAAAGACATCTGACAGTACAGTAAATTGCATTATGGAATAGACAAATAGACACATAATCCTGTTAACTCACATTGGCGTTTGGCATAGTAGGAATGGACATGTTGATGTTGTCATAGGTCCCTTTATGTTCATTCCTATCTTTGACCTTTAGATAACAAGTAGTTATTAGTAATTGCATGAATTACACACTTTACTGAACTTAAAATACAGTAATTAGATCCAAATAACTGGCATTACTGAACTCACCACAGAGCTGTCAGTCCCTCTTTTATCACCTATAAAATGCAATGTGCTCATGTAATGATAAAACAGACATGCAAAACACATTACATTACATTCAAATAAAAAGGATTTGGTTGCCCCACTGAAATCAATGATGAAAAAGGTTCTTTATTTTTACTTAATAACTCTATCTCACTGATATACTCGGCAGGAATAAAGTTCTGTTTCATAACTTCATAGTTCGACATGTTTTCATATAATCTGTATGTTTCTATGATTTATACAATCTGAAAATGATGGTTTATTGCTAATGATAAAGTGAGATCTGATTAGGTTTTTTTTATGATACAAAGGAGGACATACAAAAACTTACCATCTCTTTTTTTACAGATCATCCAGAGAACAGAAACAAGGGCAACAGCTAATGCAGCAGCCACAGCAGAGATCACGATCACGGTCACTAAAGGAGAGAGGACAGGCAGACATAGTCATGTGCAGGAAACATCTGTAATGAGTTTCCTTTATCTTGTCTTGTCCTGGTTATCTGCTTTTTTTTCTTTGTTGCCTGTTTTGGGTTACCTAGTAAATTTTAACCCTACCCCTGATTTTTGATTCATTCCCTGTGGTTTATTGCTCTTGATATTTTTTAAATTACATTTTGCTATTGTTTTAAATGTATTTTGCAAATGCATTCAAACTCAAAACTTAAATCTATGTCTATACACAGACAAATACGATGATAAAATGCAGCATCCTTTTTTATTTCTATGACAATTAGCTATAGCTTTACAGAGAGTTTAGGTCTGGAATCAGCCACATAGAATTGGTATCATTTGCCATCTGAGCTATTTATGCTGAATGCTAATATGCTTTATTTGCTTTTATTTCAGACCTGAATGTTGTAGTGCTAAAAGTAGTCTTCACTTTCTAACATGGGAAGTTATGTAGATTTAAGTCAAAAAAATTAAGAAAAAAAATCTGATTTAACAAAAAATCTATAATTCTAAAGTAAAGAAAGACAAGAGAAAAAACTAAAATATTTCAGTAACTCTTTATATGAAGCACAATTGGATTACAAAACTACAAAAGTTTACATTTTTTAATTTAGAAAGCAACATTTTTGGAAATGTCGCTATATTACAATACTGTTCAATGGTTTAAAAAAAACATCATCAAACAGTGTTGTTTCTTATGATAAAATAAAAAATAATGCATTGCAATATTTGATGTCCCTATATACTATATGTAAACACAGCCATTAAGAAAATACAAAACTGTACTGTTGTAGACTATGCCAACATTCATTTTTTTTCTCTGTAGAATTATGTTAGACAAATGTCATGTGGCTTAATTAGCGTAATCATCATGTACCTTGTTTATGAGTTTCTGATGTGTTTGTAGTTGAGGTACCTGTGCAGGATGAAAGATAGTTCAAATGAAAATATAATTACATTGATCATATTTGAATACTTCATCATGACATTACATAAAAAGTTACAAATACTTGCTCTTCAGTTTAAATTCCTTTATTATGTACAGCAGCGTTTGCTGGGCTGTTATCACTTAATCACAGTTCATTTGTTTGAAGCAATGCTTTGAGTTCAGATTACTTCTGTCAGAGTAAAAGAGGCTTTTGTTTGCCCAGTTTGTTCTGATGATATTGGTAGTCATTGAGATTATGAGGTTATTTTAAACTGATTAAAGATTGTCTCCTCACCTGAATACTTGACAATATATGTGGCTGAGGTCTTCAGTTCATTTCTCTGTTTAACCTGACATCTCCACTCGCTGTTGTGATCTTCATTCAGGAGTGTTGTAGTCAGAGTGCTGATACAGTGTCCTGAGGAGAATGATATCTGATATCTGGAGTCTGTCTGCAGATTCACACCAGCCTGATTCACCCAGATCAGCTGAACTCCCTCAGTACGGACCAAAGTATCACAAGAGACTCCATCAATATACAACTGACAGGAGAGAGTCACAGAGCTGCCGTTTCTGATCTGTGTGGATGATGGAGAGACTGAAACAGAAAATAAAACAGATGACACAACAGACTTAATTTATTTTTATTGCACATTTGAGTTTAAAAGAAGGATATGTTTTTATAAATCGACCACATAAACAAAATTACCATGAAGAAAATGCAGATGAACAGGTGCATCAGTTCCTTGTTGTTCATTCACATATTGTCGGCAGCTATAAAATCCATAATCTTCTTTTGTGGCTTTCTTGATTTTCAGAGAGCAACCGGAGCCCAGACTCAGTCTCTCATGTCTCTCTATATCATTCTTCTTTTCCCCTCCAGCAATCAGTTCAACTGTCTCTGAACGTCTGCTATAGGTCCATGTAGTTGATGTGCAGCCAGAAAGAGCATTATTACAGGGCAGACGGACATTTTCACCAGAACTGCAGAACTTGTGAGTGTCATCCATTCCAATGGTACCTGAAACACAAGTACAGTTGAGTAATCAATATACAGAATGAAATCACAAACACACTGGCATATAAGCAAAATATTTTAAACAATTTTTTCCTTGCTTAAGGCAAAGAGCACGCTATCGAGAATACACTAGTCTCTTATCATAGAAAAGAGTTGTTCAAATCACTAACGTTCTCTTAATATGAAAGGAAATCTTATTTCTGCACCTGACACCCAGTACTAGTGCATTCAGGAATAATACAGTATATAAAGTAAGCAACACTATACGCAACTCAGAAATCTCAACATGAAAAGCTGCAAGATTAAACAGAGCTGATATTCAAACAAACTCTTTCCCAAATTACTTCAACTACACAAGGATTTGTAATAGCATGTGTTGTAGAGAAATACAGATTCTTTACCTGTGAGAAATGAACAGAGGATTATCAGTCCGAGGCGAAGCATTTGACGCTTATCAGTCATTTTATCATCCATTTCAGTCAGTTCGTCTTCATTATATGATCACAACTCTTTATTTAAACAGTATCAGCACCTCCTGGGATTGTTAACTTCTTCTAATCCGACCAATTGAATGTTTAAACCCTGCTATTCAGTGACGCTATGACGGTGTATAATTGACAAGTGTTGCTTCACTTACAAATATTCATTTAAATTCAAATCGATTTCACTACCACCTTGTCTTTTCACTCCTTCTTCGAAGTCACTTACAGTGCACATTCCGTGGGAAGCCACTAAGAACAACTGGTGGTTTGTGCTCGCTCGGGGAGTTTCAGCCAATAAGTTTTCTGTTACAACCCTAGTAGTTTACATCTCCTCTAGAGAGTCTTGGTGTTGTCGAATGGGAAACGTCCCTCATTGTAGAGACGTTTGAGTACAAGTGCACCAGTTAGTTTCACTTCTTTAAGCAGTTTCCTGAATGTGATTTGATTCTAGTAATAAAATCATTAAATTATTACTGTAATGTTTCTGTGCCAAGTGCTGTAAAGGTTCTGAATTAAAAGTCACACATGATTCTTTTACAAAAACCTAAACAGCAATTGAGTGGCCATCAAACTTCTTAGAACACTTGACCAAGCAAGCGAAAGTAATGTGTTGTTGGATCTCAGATGGACTAATTGCACTGAGCTTAGAAACAGATTTCCATTTTCAAATATGGCTTGCCAGTTTCCAGTAATGTACATTTTCAATGTGCTGAAGTCACCTAGTCACTCAAAAACACTTAAAAGGAGTGTCTAGAAGATCTGTTTGTGACTCAGTCATCACACACTGCTAGTGGCCTTGCAAAATGTTAGAATTCACAATAAGTGTTATATTTAGCCATGTGAACAGTGTCAAAACACAGGATTACATTTTTGGTCTTTGTAGAACTTTAATTCAAATTGCGACAAAAGTACAATTTTGTCTGTTTTCATAAACTTGCTGACCAACAAAAGCACATTTACACAGTCGCATACAATGCCAATCACAAAACCATGAGTAAAAAAAAAAAAAAAAAAAAAAATAGATCCGCATATTTCAGAACTACATATATAAAAGCAAAACGGGGTGTTGAGATTGACGTATAAAAAAAGAAGCAGGTGGACTGCATAAACCATAATGATAGATAGAGTGGGGGGTTTAAGGCGGAACTCTGTGAAGCAGGGCAATTGAAAACAAGCATACATACACTTTTTTACAACTTCAGTAAGTTCCTGAACAAATTCCTTTTTGTTCAGCGTCTGCTCAGTTCTCATCAGTAGCACAGACCGGATACGTTCAACTTCTAGGAGCTCCAAATAAGTGTTCACTGGCACATCTAGAATAGGAGGTATCTTTAGTGCGTGCGTGTTGTGCGTTACAGCAGTCGTCCTCTGCATTCTGTTGATCCACAGCAGCACAGAAGCTCCTTGCCTTCCACACTGCCAACTTCATAATTATAATCCCACGTCAGCTCCGTCCCTGCTCGGATGCGCCTGTAGAAACACACAGGTTAATACAAAGACCGCAGCTACATTTACATAAAGCATAGTCTGTAAATATTCCAACTAATAGCTCAAACACATATATAAATACTTCTGTACTATAAACAAATCATATATGGTGTAAACCTTATATATAATATTGTAAACAAAACAAGGGCATTGGCGTTAAAAAGAAAAACAACTGTCATGTAAAGACCTGATTACTTCAAAACTGAGTGGAACATGATGAAAAATTATGCACATATGAAAACTATTAGAGACGTAAACGCACACAAACATGATAAATATTTTCATGTTATGGCCAATAACATAACGTGGGGAAGTTGTGGCCTAATGGTTAGAGAGTCGGACTCGTAACCCAAAGGTTGCGGGTTCGAGTCTCGTGCCGGCATGGATTGTAGGTGGGGGGAGTGAATGTACAGCGCTCTCTTCCACCTTCAATACCAAAACTGAGGTGCCCTTGAGCAAGGCACCGAACCCCCAACTGCTCCCTGGGCGCCGCAGCATAAATGGCTGCCCACTGCTCCGGGTGTGTGTTCACGGTGTGTGTTCACTGCTGTGTGTGTGCACTTAGGATGGGTTAAATGCAGAGCACTAATTCCTAGTATGGGTCACCATACTTGGCCACATGTCACGTCACTTTCACTTTAACTTTTTCACTTTCTCTTTCACTTTCAATAAAAGATAAATGGCCGGTATTAATATTCTGTACTAATTTAAATAAATAAAGCTCAAAAACTGAAATGAATACGTGAATAAGTGAATTCATGCATCACAACATGATAATGTACAGCATGAAAAAGATATTCATTTTGAGATTTGCGAAAGATTTCATTTAAGTGTTATTAAATTACTCATGTTTTTAAAGATTAACTTTAAGTGAACAGCAGATGACCGTATTACACAGACACCAATATTAAATGTAAAAAATAAAATAAAATATTAATACCAGCCAATAACTAGTAGGTAAAATTATTAAATTTAAATGTACATAAAATAAAATAAAATACAAAAATAAAACATTAATACCAGCCAATAACTGGTAGGTAGAATTATTACATTTTAAATGTACAATAAAAAAATAAGTTATATGTTATGCTCACTTGCTAGCAAAGAAGGCCACCCAGGGGAAGCGGAGATCATGAGTATCCACAAAAACATTCTGGACGAACAGATTGGGACTGCAGCTATGCTGTGAGGGAAAAAAACAGTAGAAGGATATAAACACAGCAGTCGCAAACTATTACTGAATTAAAAGAATCCTACCCTGAGATCTTAGACTTATGTAAATCACTCATATCTGGGTCTGTTGTACTCACGTTGAGGTAGCGTCCGAGGTTCCCCTCCAGTTTGGCATCAATGATATAACAGGATTCCTCCCCATCATAGAACTGGCGGGTGTTTTTAGGGCCACTGTCGCCCCCGCCACCTCCCTGTCCATGAGATGGGCCTGACCCGCCTCCTCCTGCACCCCCTCCCACTGTTTTCACCATCAGACTGTGGGACTTCAAAGCAATGCCACGCGTGGACTTCACCGCCACCTGCCTCTTCACCACAGCTGAGAGAGAAAGAGATCTAACAATGTTCCGTATAATGGCTTGTTACAGGGACTTGATGAATGCAAGACTATTCAACTTTCTAATTGTGCTAATTTGGTTTTCATAGCCTTTTACTATGACAACACCTCCAGGATGAGCATCTCATTTCTAATAAAGAAGGAGGGACATAAAGGGTTAAAAAGGGGTTCCTAGTACAAGCAGATTCAGTCAGCTGACTGAAGTGAAGCAAAAGTTACACTGACATAAGGAAGTCCACTTATGTAACAGGAAAACAAGCAACTTTCCCTTTTCCTCCATCTTACCCTGAGTCTTTTTCTCCCTCTCCTTGTTGTCATCGGATCCTGAGCTTATAGTTTGCACATCATCACTGTCGGAGAGGGTCATTACTTCCTAAACAAAAGACAGAGGGAAAGATTATAATAAGAGTGCAAGATGGGAGGAAAAAATAGAGAGAGACAGATATCAGAGAGTGAGACAGAAAGAAAGAGGAACAAAGAGAACGGAAAGAGAGTCATTTCATGTGAAAACTTAAAAAGGAAACAGGGTGTGTGAAAATTAAACTGACCTTCTTCTCAGTCTTCATCCCTCCCTCCACCTTGACGCTCTGATTTGCAGAAGTGGAAGACTGGTTGGTGAGCCAAGACGCCACTTTACTCTTCCCAGTCTCCTCTGGCATCGGAGGTGGCTTCCTCTCCTCACCTGTGGACACACTCAGTCCATCCTTACTGTCCTGACTCTCTACAGCCAAGACAGAGAATGATGGGAAAGTCAACTATTACTGAAATGAACGAATTAAGTTTCAGTGTACAGAGCATTTGGTTTTACAGCTGATTAATTTAAATGATACAATATATATATATACAAAAGTAGTTCTAACAAAAACATGTCCAAATACATTTCACCACAAAATAAAATGCAGAAAGTTAACAATATATTGAATTTAATATGTGAAATAAGATGTGATTATAACAAAAACAACAACAAATATTATTAGTAGTAATTGTTAAGACATTTCATCACAAAAATAAAGTAATATATTGAATAATATATGAAGTATAACAACAATAATGATGATGATAATAATAATAATAAACTGTTCAAAAATTTCACCACCAAAATAAAATATTGTTTATGAAATAATATAATAATAAAACGACTATTATTAATAACTGTTCAAAACATTTACCACAAAATAAAATCAAATAAATTAAAATTATATACTGTATGAGACATTACTATTAAAGGGTCATGAAACCTCAGACTACTTTTTCTGAGATTTTAGCAGGTGTTTGTGTTGCACATCATAGAAGACCATGTTAGCATACGTTCATTTTAATTGTTGGAGAAAACGGGTTAATTTTAAGCTTTTTTGCGCTATTTTCATCTTCCGGGCTTAAAATCTACATCGTGTTGACGTCACAATTTGTGACGTGGCAAAGGACAATGACGCGTTGGTGTCTATTAAATTATTCCTGAGACTGCGTGTTCTTATAAGACGACGCTTCGCTTAATTATTCACAACAGCATGTGTTGATTTGCTTTGACATACGCTTCAGACTGTGAGATCGCGCACATTAACTTAGAGAAACGTTCATGGATCAAAGGAGAGTGTTTGTTTTTGCTTTGTAATAGGAGTTCGGCACAAACTCGATTCATTCACTTAGTGAGTGTAACCGTTTTTTCAGCTCCTTGACACAACCCATCAAAAGGCTTATATAAACGCCGCAGAATAAGCCTTAAAAGTTAGCAGAGGTGCAACAGCGCATTCATATATATATATATGTTTTCGATACATAGTGCAAATGGCTGTGCAATTATCTGTGTTCCGCACAGCGTTTTAAAAACATTTTCTCATTTTAGAACTGTGGTGAGAACTAACCAGTGCTGAAACAGGAGGTTTCACAACCCTTTAATAATATTAGTGACTGTCATGAAAATCCTA